CAGATCATCCCTCTTGGTCCACAAGGTATCTATTCCTGCTTGGTTCAAATACAGACTTTGAAAAGTCACGTTTTTGGAAGATATGTCATTTGAAAAATGCCCTCTAACACTCATGCACCATCAATAACTGTATTCCTTTAATGCAGCAGAATTTGTGTGTCAAGCAGCGAGGAATCCACTTATCTGGATCAGACCTCACACTTAATATTGGTTGCTGTAAAGTTATCAAAAAGGAATATGTATAAATGAAGCAACAAGTCCTCCAACTCATACGATCAAATAGGTTGATTGTTCAAGCCCTTATTACGACCTATAATCACGTTTTAAAGTTTTCACCTCTTGTGCTCCCGTTGATTGCAAACGTTACAGAGGGTTGTTTATTCACAAATAACCCTCTCTGTAAAATCCTAAATTGTAGGATAGTTTGGCCATTAAAATACTTTTTGATTAGATTTCTAGCGAGAAGTGTATATTGTACTTTTAGAATCCACGTCCAGTCGATATGTAGGATCTATAGTTTGATAGATATTACGAAGATGATTTGAGGTTCCGCCAGGGGAACGTGTATATGCGGCAGCCTCCATGTAAAGTTACGGGGTGAAAACATTTCCTGTCAGAGAGAGAGAGAGAGAGAGAGAGAGAGAGAGAGAGAGAGAGAGAGAGAGAGAGAGAGAGAGAGAACCAATTTTTTTTGGCACAGTTTAAGATTTAATGTACCTCCCACCAGTTCCACCCCCAGTTTCAATTTAGGCATTTAGCTGACACACCTTTCCGAAGTAATTAACAGAGAAGGAGCAAGTGGAGTTCACAAATTGTTCAAGGACACTCGGACATCATTTTTAGCAACTACCGTTAATGAATCACTGACCCAGTTCGAGGAAGTCCATCATTACATTATCTTAGGCATTTAACCACAGCTGCAGTTATCAGTTAATCAGCAATGAGCGATGAGAATGGGACACTTATTGTGCAATTCAGATCCATGAGTACAAACACTTAGTGGGTTCTGTTGTGTTTATGCACAGCCTGAGAGATCATATAGGCGTTGATTGGTAGAGAGAGCACAAGAGGCTGTAATGTTACTCTTATGGGTTTTATTTTCCATCTTATGTCATGCATCTTATTTTTCTTCTTTAATTAAGTGTTTAATTGAACACCCTTTTCCACATTATTCACAACATTATATCCACTTCTCCCTATTATAAAACACTGACTGCTGCATTTCTTGTGTTTTACATTATTATGTACACTGTAGCTAGCATGGTTAGCATGGTGCACTTATGATTCAATCCCTAACATTAATTACATTGATCATTTTGGCTAGCTAAGACAAAATAAGCTGTTTGTAATGTTTTGGGAAAAAAAATCAACAATCTATTTCTTAGTGTCTTTCTGTATAAGCCAAGGATAAATTATAGGATGTTATTAGAACATTATCCTGTAGTGAAAAAGTGAATGAAACTAGCAACTTATTTACTGAGGTAAAAAATCAAATCAAATTAAAAGTCGGGTAATGTTCTCATAGACTTTTATACAAGCCGACAATGTTTTGCAATTTAGAGTTTTCCCCTGCTGGCCATTAGAAGAAGAGCTTTCTTTTGAGCAAAATGTGCTTTTTGTGAAATAGTCAAATATTTCCCAGAACAATTAAGAATCTGGGGGGACATAGCTGAGTTTGGACAATTTGTAACGGTTAATTTTAGCAGCTTATTCTAAAAGTTTAGGAAAGAAAAACACGTATTTGGATTTATTCTGATGTGTTGGGCAGCGGTTAAACAGTCCATCCTTCGCCACACTGATGATCAACAGTCCTGTCCTGTTCAAACAGCTATTGACAGAAACAACACCAGACCTATTTGAGCTGCTCGACAAATTTGAACATGGAACCAGGCTTATACATAATATTTGATGTCCCTGACCCTGCTACCACTTTGAGGTTAGAGCAGAAACTTTGAGGGAGATGGAGGAGAGAAAATGTTTTCTTTGTGACTGAGTGTTTATACTTCATCACATTCAAAACATTTTTTATCATCAATGCTTGATCCATAGCTATAAGGATAAATCATTAAATAACACTGACAGCTTGACTCAAAGCTTTTCTTAGAATGGGTGGATATTTGATCAATTGTACTTCAAGATAATTCGGCCGTATTTTCTTACTTCTGTGAGATTACTGCTTTTCAAATCAAAACTGGTGGGAACACACAGGGGATTTGCTGTGTGTGTGTGTGTGTGTGTGTGTGTGTGTGTGTGTGTGTGTGTGTGTGTGTGTGTGTGTGTGTGTGTGTGTGTGTGTATTAGGCTGCCATCTACTGAGAACTGTCTTCAGACTGAATGTGTGTTTGCAGAGAGAGGAACAGTGACACTTCCTTCACCACATACATTTCCACATACATTTCCTCTGTGCTCGACAGTCATGGCCGAGGAAAGGTCCCGCTGAGACAGGGTAATGAGGTAATTAAATTCCAATTGGTTAACAGCTCCTTGTCGCATTTCTAATCTGACCCAGGTCCTTCCTCGCCGAGATAAAACGAGACATGGGCTCTAACTTTACCTATCTTTTCTCTTGCTTTCTTCTTCCTGTCCATTTTTAATAATTTACAAAATACTATTCAATTCCCACATCAGATTGAAAGATCACGGCTCCCAAACAGCAGGCGTTTTGCCATTGACGTCAATGATTGTTGTCCCTCTGAGACAAATAGGATTTGTGATTTTGGGCTGTATAAATAAACTTGAATTGAATTGAAGGATTAGGGCGTGGACACATTTGACTTATCTACATATTTTGTCTCTTACAGAAAATTATTTTAAAAAGAACCCCTCTGCTGTGATCTTTCTGTGTCCTCAGTTTAATATTCTAAAGCTTGAGGTGATTTGCAATAATACACTCTCTCTTCTCTCCACTGTATGAGTGCCAATCCAGGCCAGCGGTGTACATGAGGAGGAGGGCTGGTTGCTAGGTTGCATATTCCTCCGGTTACAAAGCTCTTTGATACCTTTGTCGCTTCATTCTCTCATAGACATGCACCCACTCACATGGCCAGGCACCTACATGCTGAAAAAGAGCACACAAACAGGGCTGTTTTTCTCCAGATCAGGGCAATAACCCAAATATCAAGGCAAACAGCCGGTCAGCTAGACAGGAGCCGTCTAACCACACTAACAAGGTGAGCAGACAGGGTGAGGTGCTGTGGGGGGTGTCTGTGCTCCTTCAGGAGGAACCGACAAACACTAGACTGGCGACGCTAATAAGGTGTCAGTGCTGCCCGGCCCCCCCGCTGTGCAGCACAAACTGAAGGCTGCTGCTCAGAACAGGATGTGTGATTTCAAACTGAACACACATCAGCCTGCAGCAACATCATGCGATCCCTACCAGAGATGCTGTGGATTAGTCTGGACACCTTGGGAATGGATGGCAGCACAAAAGGTAGTGTTGCATGGAGACAGGAGGGCTGTTCACCATCTTCAGCTCAACAGTTACAGGAAGCAAGCTGTGACGACTGCGAAATACATTTATGGGAAAGATATGTTATGTCTGTCTTAATCCATTTGTAACCACAGTGCCAGTTCAAGTGCCTTAAACTTGAATTATTTTAAATGGCCAGTAGTTACCACAGGTTGCAAAAATAAGTCATATTGTATAGAAGTCTATGAGAACGGTATCTTCCTACATAGCTAGCGTGCTACATCCATGATAAAAAGCTTCCTAGAGTGGCTACATCAGAAAAAAAAGCTAAACAGAATATGTACTATTGAGTGTGTCCTCTTTTTTAAGACAGTATTTGCAAGATAACTTCATGGCCAGAATGAGTATGAGGAATGATTACAGGAACTCGTACTTATTTCAACTCACATATGGTCTCTAAAAAATAGTCAAATAAACATAAAAAAGATCCTGACTCGGGCTTCAAGCTAAATGTTCAAAGTTGCACAGAGCATCTTTGAGTATGAGAACCGGAATGCTACGGGGGGCGAAGTATCAAGATAATAAGGCTTGAATGTGTAATTCTGTAAGCTGTTAACATATAAACATAAAATATTGAAGACAATCAGACAAGACGTTAGAGAAGGTAAAGATGAAGAGCACCGGCTTGTTTCCTATCTTCTTTTTTTCTTAGCCTTTGCTGCTGTGCTGAGGCTTATTTTGCTGCCTGCATTCTAATGAGAGAGAGGGCGAGGAGGGAGGGGGTGGAGAGGGGGATTGTGTAACTCTGAGTTACATAACACAGTGTGCATGGCCTTCTCTCTCTCAGACACAGACACACACAGCAGAGCGACAGTGAGCGAGCAGTAAGGAGAAGATGGAGGGTTTTAAAGGGTGCCGGTGTTAATGAGGGCGATCTGGAGAGATGTGGGCCTCGCCGGAAAGTCATACCTCATTACGACACAGCTTCTTATAATGCCGCCGATGAGGATAAGTTGTTTGGGAGGCAAGGGGACGCAGATAGAGGACCCCTGGCTTGGCTTAGATTAAAACTCAGTCATCAAGTGGCATTCGAGTGGGTTTGCCAGGTAATTAAAGTCGATAAAATGTTATTGCTTTCACCCCCCGCCCACCTGGATTGTTAGGGATGGAGTGTCAGACATTTACCGGACATTTCGTAAGAGGACAAAATACCAATTGGGATAAAGCCACCACACTGATATTGCTGCTTTTGGTCTGCTTTGCTGATTATCAAACAAAACAATCCTGTGTTCCTGTGGTTACTTTTGTAGATTTGTGTTTCTTTCTTGCACGTGAATTGATTGCGTTTAAACATGTCTTCTTTGTTTTTTTTTATTGTTTGTGTTGAGTTCGGTTTTAGCTTTGCCTTCTTCCTTTGGAATAACATTTTGGATTTTTCAAACTCAATAATTTCAGTAAAGCGCTCATTTGCCTCCATACAACACAGAACATTCCACCTCATACAAAAGACTGAACACAACACGTGATCAAATTAGTTTATTTCTATCTTTAATAAATCAATAAAAAATTACAAAAGTTTGGACATGTACAGCTCATTTGGCTTTGATTATTTCACACTCAGAAAATAGATTCAAAGACAAATGAGTCAGCACCTTCCAGGAAGGAAACCAACATCTTCAGGTCAGGAGTAGTTGACCTTCACACAGAACGTCTCCTCTGTCCTCTCCTGCAGGTTGTTCACGTAGACCAGGATCTCCACAGAGCCGGGACTCTGGCTGGGAGCGAATCGTAGTCCGATGGTGTAACTCTCCCCCCCGCCGATCTGAACACAGTGAACACAACAAACAAGCTTTATTTTCCTCTGAAGCATTTGTGAGGGGGAGAGATTCTCCTTTTCTCTTCAGCAACAAAAGGAGACTCATGATCACAAACACAAAGTGCCTATTTACCTCAGAGATAGAATAAATGGTCTTCCTTGCATGTAATCATTATCTCCTTCGTTTTGAAAACCCTATTAAATTGACCATTCATACTGTCATTGATCGCCGACTCATTCCTCTTAACTGCCTGCAGAAGATCAACAACTGTTTCATGTCAGTATCTTGTTCATGCCAGGGATTAGAAATAGTTTCTGTCCAGATGTGCATGCCTAGGTAGGTAAACATTCAGTGAATTGATTTGATTTAAATAAAAAAATAAAAAAATAAAGTAATCTTCCCAATTTTGCATTTCATCAAGTAGCTGATTCCTTAGTTTCATTTATTCTTTCATAACAAATCTAGGAACACATTTAAATTAATAACTTTATAGTTAAAAGGACAAGTAGAAGCTTTTAGTTGTGTAAACATGTTATATTTTAGCCGTTTAACGGTTCCACGGCTTTGTCCATAAAATACACCAACTACTGTGGTTTCTTCAAACCTGAGTCCTCTTCCAGGCTACATCCCTAAACCTTTGAAGATATGACAACATCACATGTAGCCGGAGTGAGTGTGAGATTTAAAACATTAGAAACGTCTGGGCACTAGAACATGTATCCCCTCCCTGCCGCCCAGAGAACTCTTTTTCAACAGTGAAGTACATACCTTACCTGAGAACTACAACCTGTTTCTTCATGTTTTATCTTTGGTCGTTTTTCAAAGTCTGGTCGGTCATGTTTTTTCACTTAAACTCTTTTATTTCAGTGTGTGTAACTTTCTCTACAGAAAAGGCCAAACAGATGTAGTGCCATTGCTTTCATTTGTCAAGAAAAGTAGCAAACATATGGGAATACTTTAGAAAAATATCTAACAACTATAAGTGGAGCATCCAGCCACCACTGTTGTTGTTAATAACTCTGTATAGCTTTGCAAAAATATAAAAATATGCCCTTAGGAGTGCTTAAGGGATTATGCTTTATTGCATTGTAATAAATGTCATGTATATGATGCAACAGCTTATCCACACAGTGGGACTCCATTATCTAATTTAATAAGGGTTGTCTGACACCAGAGGATGACTACTCAAACGAAGCCCAAATGGTTTGTGTTCTTAATTGCTCCAACCTCTTGACATCACACTTTGTTTTTTGTGTGTAAATTACCTTCTTTTCATCGAAAGTGAAAATAATCTTCTCTCTAAGGAAAAGCTTTTGTTTCCCTGGTATTTCAATCAGACCAAAACTGTCCTCTAGTATTTTCGGTAATAGCCAGCACAGGATGTAAAGGTCAATTTGGGGGATTTATGCTCCAATCTTCCCAAAAAGCCTAGCAGTATTGATTTCTTCTTTCCCCTCCCTCCTGACAGCTGGTTTTATCACACTGAGGAACTTGCGTCAAAAAGAGAAGAGTGTCTCCACATTTGCTTAATGCTGCGGGCACAGTCAATTCTTTATAAAACACCTGGCGCCTGGTTGACAAAATGGGATAAAAATAACAGGCTGTTTTTCACTTTGCCCACCTTCTTCTGTCTTCTGGACAGCAGCAGCAGCCTGACTCTTAAATAGTTTATATGGAAACAGACTCCCACTGCGTCTCACTCATTTATTTGTTCATTTAAAATTCTGCTTTCCCATTTGTTTTGCCCTTCCATCACACCTCGGCGAATGAAAAGCAATGATGGCGGTGATCCATGGCTGTGTGTAAGTGAGTGAATGAGCTATTAGAGACACTGAGGTAGACAACATAACAATAAAACACCGGCAACTTTTTTTGGATTCCTACTGTTTTGGTCTGGAGGAAAACAAAAACAGCTTTCACTCCAACGCGAGAGGCCAGAAATCATCATCAGCATCTTTTACTCACTGAAGAAGTCCAAAACAATCTTTCACGGGAACTAAACAAATGAAAATAAAAGTTTCTCCTTCACACTAAAGTTATTGGTGTTGGTCAAGACTTTTTCCAGTAATTTGGCTTATTTGAAACTATAGAACACAACAGCAAAGGAAAAACTTGTATTATTTATATTTTGAGATGTTTCATTTTGGAATTTCTTATTTTACTCTTTTAATTTCTACTTATGTGCATTCCCTTGTTTTTTTTATGCTGCTGCAATGCAAAACAATCCCAATTTGGGATCAATAAAGTACATCTTATCTTATCTTAAAAACCCCAAAACGTATAGGGCCGCTATGAAATGGTTTGGCTTTGCTTGAAGTGAATGTACTCTCAGGTTTCTTAGTGTTCTGACTTTGTACGGTTGATTTCACTTTGATTGTAAATTGCAGTTGTGAATGTGGTAATGTAATGTAGGTGTGCTGCATAGTTAGTGATTTTGCGGCACTGCCAAATCATGATTTAAGAGTGCACCAAAACTGATTTTGGGCCTGACATAAATCAGTTCAGGACACTGTTGAAATAATCCAATACTAAAGTGTCCACTGTATGTCCTCTTTTCCTTAGCGTGCTGACATCTTTTAGTTTGTTGCTTTTAAATTATTTATTGTTTTTACTTGTACTAATTTTATGGTGTGTGAGCAGTGCTGTGTGATTTGTATGTTTTTGTTTGTTTATTTGACTGTACAGCACTTTGGTCTGGAGGTTTTAAAGTGCTTTATAAATATAGCTGTATTGTATTGTATGTTCTGGTTGCAGCTCCATCATGACTCATATATTAGAAATGTCCAGCAGTACAGGGAAGGCATGTCTGCACAGGAGGCATTTCAGATGCAATTTCTAAGTAAATGTTCTTCTTTTTTACATTGCATTCTGCCAAAACACAGATCTACAGTCAATACTGTGCCTGAACGCATCGTGTGCAGACACAGACGGAGGACTCAAGCTGCTGCTGTGTACACATTGTAGAAGAGATTTTAAGCAACCTGTTCTTCAGCAGATACATTTCCACTGAGGTTTACAATTGTGTTGCTGATCACTTCGAAAACACATTTTCAGGCTCATTTTTAACAGCAGGTTGTCTAATCTTTATTTTTGCATCATTTAATATGAATGTCATTGTCATAGGCTTTTTTCAGCTTGTAAACTGTAGCCTGAAAAGTTTTCGGTGTCGTTGTCAAGAGAGGAGGGGAGAATGTGAAAGTATTTAATAAGAATGCTACTCATAGTGACAACAAGCCCTGGGAAGTGCCAATCATTATTTTCAGTCAGTGAAACTACTGGAGAAAAAGGTTTGTTCTGTTGCATGGTTGGAATATACGATGTTAAATAATCCAAGCAGTGTGAGATATTAGCTAAGTATTCAAATATAACTCATTATAACAATCTGAAGGTCTGAAGAAGCTGTGTCTGAGTTCTTCATTTAGAAGTCATGTTTGTGACATTATGACTACTTCAATTTCACAGTGTCATCATAACAGTTTAAGTGGGTACTATTCATAGAAGAGAAAAATATCTTTCTGATTCTAATAGAAGCTGGGAATGCGCCAAAATCACTGTGAAAGATGCAGATACAGTCCGTTAGCCTAAATCTGTAAACAACTGTCACTAAAGTATAGGCTACTTCAACCAGTTGTATCCAACATTTAAAACTGGAATTACAATTCCTTAACTATTCTTAATAATCCGATTCAAGCTTTGGTAAAGTGTTGCATGCTTGAATGGTGCTAACCAAAACGAATGCGGCAACAGGTTCTGTGTTTAATAAAGTTCAATAAAAAGAAGCAGCTGTTTCACATCACTGAGTCATGTCTAAGAGCAATGTGTTTCCTAGATATAAATGTATTCCAAATAAAGAATTCAAAAATATGTATAAATTATTTTAAGAGAGGGAAAAGGATGCTTTTAGACGTTAGCATCGTTGTTTGCAGAGACTCAAGCTTGCAGTATTGAGTAGTAGCTAATAGGCAGAATAATCTTGCCTGCAGTATTCTATATTCAAAATGCATGTATAAAGTTTTGCAAAGGTTTTATTTCCATTACTTTTGTCCTAATCAAGACTTTCATATTAAAATGTATGCGATTAATAAGCATTCCTGTCATTACAGCTAATGCGCATTATTTACAGGGCGGTAACAACACAAGCAACCGTTAATGCAATTCAACTGCCAGTAATGATGCAGGCTTTGATTTCAATCTACAACAAAGACACGCTTTTTCCAAGGAGTAGGGTTTCCTTGAGGTCGAGCTGTTAATTAAAGTATTGATTTAGCTCTTAATGAGAGTAAGAGAACTGCATGACTTCCTGTCTTATCTCACCTGGAATTTATCCTCTTTGAACTGCAGCAGGTCAGGACGGTCCGAGCGGAGCAGGAACGAGCGGCTGCTGGTGTAGGGGTTGGTGTAGGTGATTTTCCTGGAGCTGCCACGCCCAGTGCCCACTGGGACACACACTTCAAATGCCTGCACACACAAACAGGCGAGACAGGTGGCAGTTATAGAGGCGATTGAGTGCTGACCTGGGATCAGCTGTCCTTAGCCTTTTCTTGACAGCAGCCATAAAAGGGGTTGAGAATTTCCCGCTGACCCAGGACACCACCAGGATGCTTCAATAAGCACTCAGTGTGACTCTTAGTCCCAAGTGGCTTTGAGTCATACAGAACAGGTACCACTTACCACACATCTAGCACCTTCCACAGTATAAGTCACATGCTTTTATATAGAATGATACAAATGAGGAGTTTCTTTGTAGCAGTCCTAAATCTGTAAAAGATCAACAGATTGTAAAATAAAAAATATATTTGCCTTTAAACCAACACTTATATAACAATGTTTGTTGTACTAAGATAACAATCATTTTAATGTTTCACTGACTTGTAATGGCGGGAATCGGGCCACCAGTCTCAGTCTGAGCCAGAAAGTCGGCTCTTTACAATCTCCTCTGAGAAGTGTCTAAGGATTTATTGTAGGCCTCCTAATTAAACATTTCCAGAAACTGAATCTATTTATTTTGGTTTTCCCTTTAATGTCCAGCTGCTCAGCTTTACTCAATGTTTTTTATGAGTTTCCTAACGGAAAGAAAACTTTACTATTAGCTAAATTAGCGCTAAAAGCCTACAGATGCTAACAGTAGCTGGTGTCAGCTAGTAAGCAGTTAGCTTAGTGAGCCATGCTGTCAGGATTATTAATAGTCAAAGCCACTTGGGACTAAGAGTCACACTCAGTGCTTATTGAAGCATCCTGGTGGTGTCCTGGGTAAGCGGGGTTTGTTCCTCTACTATATGGGCTCGGAGCACCAGGGGAGTGTTGGTGGTCACACTGTTAGCACAGGAGCTAACTGGGAGGGGGATGTTTCAGTGTAGTGTTGGCCCCCAACGGAACCAGTTGTAGAAGCCTCTACAGATTAGTTACTGTGGCGTGTTTAGCTGGCTTGCTATGTCTTGGGTTGTTGCATTTGTTTGATATTTGGCTGTGCAAAAAAAAATGTATTAGCTAAATCCACAAAATACTGTGTCTTTTCATTTTGTTACTGTTTCATAATGTCAACCATCATTGGGTGCAGGTGAGTGATGACACAATGAGACATTTGGTGACTTTCACACTGCAGTGCAGTTTGATATTGCAAAGAAAAAACAAAGCGCTCAATTGATATAAGATATGGAAGATTCAAAATAAGAATTGAGCTGTTTTGACTCAACTTTTTCTGTATGTTGTTATCCATTTACATCAGGGTGTATTGTAGCAGTTTTAAAAAGGGCAAGCAGACACCCGGCAGGTGTTGCTGGAGTACTAAAGGAATGAAAAGTGCCACCAACAGTTAGCAAAGGCTCCCTAATAGGAGAATGATGGCCAGTGTTTCAGCTATTGGAAAAGGCTGAAAAGGAGACTTAAAAACACACATTTTACCATTATAGGTTGCAAAGCCAAAAAGAAAACCTCTAATACCTTGGACAGGACAGGCCGGTGGACGTTGAGACAGAGCAGCCAGGATGCCACAAGTCGCCGGTTCTCCACATCCACCGCATTCACATACAGGAAGCGGCTTCCTGCGCGCCACGGCTGCACCTTCAGCTGGAGCTCCTGCACGGCGGCGGGAGGCAGAACGAACACCGTCTCTGGGTCCACCTACGAGAAGGTATGGGTGATTGAGTTTGGCAGTACTGTGTGGAGGTGTTGATTGGGTGGGTTGTGAGAAAGAGAACATTACTGACGAGAAATAGAGGCATTGACAAAGTGACAGAAAAATGTGACACAGTATGATGAGAAGAGTGATTCTATTGAGAAAAAAAGATTTAGAAAATGGCAGAATTACTTGAAAATAGGTGGTTGATGGAGCCAGAGGAAAACAAAGGAGGTGAACAGATTACAGGAGAGTGGGGGAGAGAAGGGGTGAATGAGTTACGGTGAAATAGGGAAAGGGAGGGGACCGACAATAATATAAGAGAGAGTAAAGGCAGAAAAGTGACAAAGAGACGGAAGGATGTGAGAATGAGATTTACTGTGAGGTTCATTTTCAATCTGTTGGGAAAAAGCAAAGCTATTCTCCGACGGTGAGCTTTATCCGATTGTATAAGACTCCTCCGATGCATTCCACAGTGAGCTAACCTGCAGAGAGTCAGATCAAAGTGGGCGCCGATGCAAACGTGAAATCTTTTTGGGAAAAAAAATATGTCACTCTTGCAGCCAATACCCTTTTTCTTACCAGAAAATACGTTTGGGTCACACAACATGCAGCCACGGTGACTGTGGCGGCCCATCACTTTTGTTTTAATTTAATATGAGTGAGTAAAATGCAATGCCCTTTTACTGCCGTTCTGACTGAGAAGCATTTGAAAAACTCTCTCCCTGCTTGTAACCAGTTATGAATAAGAAACGATCTATCTTAAAATAGACGATATGACACTCCCGGAACATATTTCACATGTTCAGGGAGCATAAAACCATTACATGTTTCGGTTTCTGTCAGATTGGGTCCCAACATGTGATATGATTGCAGGAAGTAATGGGGTAACCTAATAAAATGAAATGAATTGAAAAGAGCCATTACGCTGTCAATCCACATTTGTACATTCTGGATAATGACTCGAATATGAACCTTGGGTTATTACAAAAGAGACTTTCTGTGTTCCATTGTTCCCTGCTGCTAAGAGAACAATTTGCATGAAATCCTTTTTGTGGATATGCGGTTTTAAAGTTAAGAGAAAAAAGAACAAATGGCTCCATTTCATGTTAGATACAAAGAATTCAAGGTACTGTATGGTTTGAGCTGTTTTTATTTACAATTCTCTTATTTTATCTTCTGTATGTTGATATGCATTGGTGTAAGCTACTTTTCTTTTTAAATAACTACAAAAGTTCACACAGGGAAGACTGAAATTAATCGTACAGGCACCTCACTTTAGATTAAACTCAACAAGTGGAAGAAAGGATGTTGAAAACACAAAGCATAGCGTCTTAACTTACTACTACAGTTGATTTTGAAATATTGTCAAATGGCAGTCATGTGTACAACTAGAGTTCTGTAAATTATGGATTTGATTGTAGTGTTTCTGGCAGTAGTGAAGAAAACAACATGAGTCCAAAACCCAAAATGGAGAAATGGACGACTATCAGACTCCGAACAGACCCAAAGACAATTAGATCCAAAATGTGGTCGCCTAAACACACAAATAACACCAACACTGTAAACAGCATGATGCTCCACCAATTAACAAGCAGCTAGAGTCCAAAAGAGCAGCGATACATGTCACTTCACACTCTCCATCTGTCTCAAGAAACATTTTCTACAGCACAGAGTGAGAGCTGCTTCAAGGTCTTTTTGGATTGATATAAGACATACCGTTTTAGTATAAAGACTTTAATATGATACAATGCAAAGTATAATTTGGACTTGACTAAACCTACTAGGTTTATTTTGTTTTGGTCTTGATGCAGCTTTACTCAATTTTCTTCAGGAAAATGGTAGGGCTGACACTTCCTGTTAAAATTCTAGATTGACTGACAATTGCTGTTACTTTAATGAGGAGAAAAGTTTTTGTAATCTATCCATATGCATTTTTTAGGGTTGGCTAGTGTGAATATGCTCTCATCTGCCGAAGGACAAGGCTAATAATGACCCTGATCGTCCTTTGCGAAAGCTTCAATAGCTGTTCTATTTTCGATATCATATAAATATGGGCAGGTGCGCATTTCAAGTATGTTATCATTAAGGAATAAAAAAATAAGGTAATAAATATTGAATATGCTGCCAATAGCATTTTACATTTATAATGCATTAAGACCACCAGGAAGAGTGTAACAAGTCCAAAGGGGCAGGTAGACTTATTTCCCCATCAACCAATCGATTGGTTGAAGAAAAGGTAGAATTTCCGCAAAACAAGATTTTATTTGGATGAATCAGCCCCAGAAAAAGGCAAATAACTTCTGTTGCATTGGGAACACAATACATTTTACAGAATAATGAAGGTAATGTGTAATCATCAAACTCAAATCAAATGTGTTCATTTAAATCAATGTTGATGTGTACCTCTATCTCCTGTGGGTGGGACGAGAAGCACTTGACCTTGCGTACAGCCTGCTTCCCCCTCAGCACCAGTGATTGACAGCTCCGCTGGCCACTCACACAGCTGACATCCACCCGCTCCAGGAAATGCACGTAAATCTGCCAGATCTGGGACGGAGCTGCCATCCACTTATCACTGCAGAGAAAAACATCATGGGAACAGTTAAGCTGAGGCCCCCCGGGGACACTGGATCAGGTCTTTGATGAGGAGGGCTGACCTACAGCTGTGTGTGCTTTTTTTTTTAAGAAGCGGCCGCAACATCATCAGCCTTCTCTCAACTGCAGAGAGGAAGGGAATTCAGTCTCAGTGGCCCTGGCTGAAATGAGAGCTGTGAGTGGGAGGTGATGTAGTCACCTACTCAGCCCGGCTCTGTGACAACAGCACTTAAGGAGCATTTGGGGATATTCTGCATTGAATTCAAGTGATGTGGGTTTCTGAAGGCAGAAGCAATATCACTAGTGCTGGGTATAGCTGCTGAAAAGTGATATTTTCTGTTGCCTTTTGTACATGGTGTTACAACCTCAACACTGGATTGAATCACATTTCCCTGTAATACTTTTACAGTCAATTATTTAACGTTTCCCAAACATTTATTCGGAAACTGACCTTGACCCTGCATCCCCAGAGGCTATAAACTCCCAGGTTCACATGTATCCGTTGGTTTGTTTTTATATAAAATATCAACTATGAAGGGTTTTCTATTTTAAGATAAACTTGGCATGTCTTGTAGAGGGGACCATCTGTCAAAAGCTGCCTACCATCTATAATTCTAATCCATATTGAGCTAAAAAGAGGAAAATATTCCTGAACAGAGGTCGCGTCATTTTGACAGATTAGAACAAACTCAGAACAGCGCTAAAGTTTCCCTGCAGCGAGGCTCCGGTGTTATGCCGTGTTAAACATGGCCGCCAAAAACTAACTTTGACGTACAAATCATTGTAATGTCTGTTTTTGCTTTATGCAAGAGTCTAGCACCGCCTCTGCTCCTGAGTAACTGTGTTTAATCTATTTAGCACACACTAGTGAACACACAAATGACATAGGGCCAGGTTGTTGTAAATCAGCAAAGGAGGACTGGATGATCTCAGTGTCTAGGGATAAATAGTCAAAAGGCTCATCCTGCAGTTTAAAACAAAGTGTTACTTGTCTGGTCGTGAATACAAATCTCTCAAAATAATCTAATTGAATGTAAAGGTGCCCTGTGTTTTCTGACCACAGTTTTCTCTTTGTGTATTTCATTTAGAGGGACGCCCTTTCACTATACAAGCATGAAGATGATGCAGTCCATGCTTCCGCTGACTAATCGGCAGATAGAATAAATTGCTTTTAACATACAGTATATACTCATTTTATTGGTCTTATTTCTGATGAAGATTTGAAAGAGGACAGGGTCTGTCAGGAAGTTAAGACCACCAACCCTCCAGCTAATTAGTTATTTAATTCAAGCCTGCGTGAATAATTGAATTAGTCCAAAATATAATGCATCTTCAGGCTAACCTGTGTGTGCTTGGGTGCATTTCACTGTGTATGGGGTTTCCTGTTCAGTAAATAATACATACGTAAAAACCATCACAAAGAACATTTTTATGAGTGGACTGGGACTCCCTGGCACTTTCAAGTACACATCCTGAGGCTCCCCTGGCACCTAGACAGAAACAGAGAACAAGGCAGAAACATTTTAAAATGGAGGGATGAAGGAACAAAAGAGTCAGAAATAAAAGAAACCCCACGTTAGATCTTTTAAAGTGCACATCATGTGAGGGCAAGCATTTCGGGAATCATAACAGCTTGACAGTAATGACGGGTTAAAAGTAAGTGAAGAAGAAATTAATATTAATAAAGCAATCGTTTCAACAACTAATACTTTGGGTTATTTTACTAGGGACTGAAAAGATTTGAAAAAATAATAAAAGCAATTTTCTCACCAGCATCCTCGTCTGGCAGATGATGTTAGGGTCACTGCAACGCACGGAAATGTGACTGATATCTGCAACTGGTTAACCCAATTAAAAAAAAGGAAATATTCAGACATTAACGTACCCTAAGCCGTCTTTTTCAATGTTATCATTGGGATGTCATTCTGACAAAATGTGATGGATTTCTTCTGTTGCTCTACCTATTTTAGTAAAAATAAGTTTAGAATAGATTATTTAAACACATCCACGTTGTATACTTCAAATAACTTGTGTGGACATTTTTATTCTGAAGCTATTCCTGGAAAGTCACCTTCTGAAGATGAACTAACACTACTAATAATGTAATAATATGCAAAAAAAATAAGATGCAATAAATCAGAAAATATCCAAGTCCATCCCTAGACTGAGGCAGGAAGGGTGGGACAGGAAGCAATGGCTGATGGGGGAGAATTTGGGTAACCTGCGCTACCTGAGGGGTCATGCCAGGGCGGCAGGCGGATGGCTTTTTTGAGGAAACAGAGCTCGGGGTGGTAGAGGCGGAAAGTCTGGTCGACAACGTGAGGGGTCGGCTCCACGTTCACCTGGCAGATGGCCATGGGCTTGCCGTCTTCTGCTTTGAACGTTACCTATAAGAGAAGGCAAAAAGTAAGAAATATCAGCAGAGTGCCGATCCCCTACCATGAAACAGATATTTATTAACACAGGGGAGTAAAAACCCTCCAGCCAAACACTAATAAAAAAGTAAAAGATGGATTAATGAGTACAGCTTGTACAATTTAGGAATTCCAATCATATCTAACATTCGACAGGGCAGAAACATGAGCGATCAGAGGATGACACTTGGTTGTAAACAAGCCATCAGCTTTGCCAAATTTCTAAATGAGTGATTCCCACCTTTCAGCATGCAGCCCCTTACAAAAAGCCCTATTAACTTAGGATCAGAAATGATGGCCTTATTACGCACTTAAGGGGAAGCTGTGGCGCAGTGGAATAGTGCGCTGATCCTCAGATCAGGGGAGTTGGGGAACACCATTTCAATCCCACCTTGATTGCCACTGCAGTCAATATGCTATTTTGTCCTTGGGCAAGATCCTTCAACATAATTGCTCCTGTGGGTATTGTCCACAGTATTGATTTATTACATGTCTGATATATGTATTATGTAATGTAAAGCGCTTAAATAAAAATGCAATTACTTATTATTACTTGCTCTCTTCATAATCTATGAGTAGTTTTTATTTCTCATACCGTTTTATTTTAAGAATGCTTGAGGGCATAAACAAGGAAAATGATTCACTGAAAAATACTTACGCTCAATACTTTTGAGCAAATCAAATTAATATGTGTAGTATACATGTTAAATGAAAATAAAACACTTTTTGGACCAACCCACTTCATTTGGGAATGAATATAAAATTGAGCATATCAGACATTTTTGTAAAACTTTGCATAGGAAAACTGTGTGCACATCTACATCAAATATAGAACATCAAATCAGGATGTCATTATCTTAACTATTAAACATATTTACAGTAAATTATTATACTGTTAGGGAATCATTCTGTCTTTACTTTAGATATTTAACCTTTCTGCCTGTTGACATTTACGACCAACCCTAAGTCCGTTATCTCCCGTAAGGAATGTGATAATGCAGTCATGTGATGTTATTCTCAGTTTTATTATCGGTCACAGAGAGTTTTACGACTGTGAGAACGCTGGCTTTCTAAGCCTCACAGACAGGTGATTGAGTATTTCCAGATATCGGGGATATCGCGAGTGTTCCCAGTGTTTACACACCGTCCCCCAATATATGGATTAACTCTCTGTAAACTAGTTAAAACGTCTATCAGAGAGAGGTTGGTCAGATGTGACTTGGCAAACCACCCGTGCAATCAGAATCTCTGGCTGCTGTGACTTGTGATGTGAATTTCTCCGGCCGATACTTGTATTAAATATCAGTGTTTGACATCAGAACTCCTGCTCGTCCTGTGTCTCCTTCATGAGTCGGTGACTCCCACTGCATTGCTATACAGAAGTTTCCTCCACATATACCATTGTCAATTTTGGCTATGTTTTATTTTATTTTTATAAATTCTTTAGTTTACCTACACATTCAAACTACACTCGTCCTGTGTCATGAGACCTGCATTCAAAGTTCTCGACTGCTGTTAGTGATATACAGAACTAGCATTACCATGTTTTTTTCCTGAGGCAGTTCAGCTCTAAACAACATATACAGCATTTTATAAAGCAGCCTTAGAGAGGTTTTATTTAAAAATCCCCTAGAGATTATGATGATGATGGAGCTTTGCTGTACACTAGAATATAAACACTGGCTTCAATCCGGCAAGTGAAACCCCTACAGACCTGCTGAATGTGCTTTGAAGTTTGCCGCATTTTAATAGCCCTCCGCATCTGATCTGTGCAAATCAACACAAACGTGTTACATATATATGCACTAATTAAATATGGTGACACATGATGGTATATACACATCCTGCACACTAACATATGCAAACATATTGAATTGCCAGCCCTCCCACATACATCATACTTCACGCCATCTTAAACTTTAGTTTGCTTCATTTATAAGATTGATTCGCTATGCATAACTATGGCTGGGAGTGAGGATTATAGATTACATGTAACTGAGTTGCAGGATATGAATTATAATGAAGCTGCTCGATTACATACGTAATACAAGTATTTCATTTAGTATCTCTAGCAATACTATGGCAATGTACTGTATGTCATACTATGGATAAGTTAGCAAAGTGGCCTAAGATAGCAATATTAGTAGTTTGAGGATCAGCCCACATTCGTTTGAGACATCCACTGTGGATGTTGAAGATCAATCAAGGAGGGTTTTCAGCATTTATATAATAACCTTTAATGCCATTCGTTTTTATTTATCTAACAGTCCAATACATACTTTTTTTTAGGAATTTCATGGACTAATTCACATGATATCTGCTGAGAATAGTCCTGTCTCCAGAGTCCAGACAGTAGATGAGCAATATGTTTTAGTTAACTCCCTGAACTTTCCAATTGTGCCAAAACAGGGCAGAATTTATACAGTTACCATTTCAAACTCTATAATTTGGTCTGATTGGATCTTGAACCAGCAACACTTTGGTTCTCAAGCCAAGTCCCTACAGACTGAGCTAATGCCAGTTTGCCTTGGATATCATGGCTTTCTGCCATCAGGCCAAGATTCCATTTTACCCTTACCACATACTGTCCAGTGGCACCATTTGAACCTTTTTAAATGCAACAATTATTGTTTTTGTTTATGTTTGTTTTATATTTTAAGGTCCGAGAGAGAGGCTGCAGTGTTTAGATTACAGGTAAGATGTAAGGTGCCAACCAACCAGGTATTTATCTCAATTATACATATAAAATCAAAGAGCAGCTATCTTGGATTTCTGCAGGCTTTGTTGATAGCGCTTTAATATTTAGTGCAAAGGCTGGGGAACTGGCTCAGAGCTTCAAGTCCAACCACATCCAACACCTTTGGCCTTAACTGTACCACAGACTATGAGCCAGGAACTTACTATATCAGAGAACAACAGTAGCTGAACTCACTAATGCACCTAAGACCGGATGGGAGCATATCCCGTCAGTCAGGTTACAAAATCTTCTGAAAAAAGGCCTTCCCAGAGGAGTCGAGGCTGTTATTACAGCAGTTTCATAATGAGTAGCAATCATCTCATTCCGTGAAAGGCTTTAATGTTCGGGAATGAAATGAAATAAAATAGATTCAACCCCAGCGTGCGTCGCAATTATTTCTTACATTAATTTATACAAATCTATGCCATTCTACATCATGAAAAGCATTCCAAACAATGCAGAGGACCTTCACTACAACTGCTTAACATATGTTAATATGTATATTAATAAGTATAGGAGTATAGATATACGTCAACTCTCCACATTTTAGTCATTGATTCTCATACTCAGAATTTGACCCCTGCCAAACAACAGCTGTCCAAATGGTTGATGTGTCAGATTTGCGGGGCCCATGCTGACCCGCAGTAGTGGCCCATATTTGGCTCTGGTGATGTGTGCTGACTGACGGCCGTGCCAAAGCTGGCATCCTGACAGTCCTGCTGTTGGGAATTGTCAGTTTTAGCAGGAGACCGATTTGATCCGGGCCTGACCTCTTTGACTTCTTGACAGGATTTTTGCTCATAGCAGCAGTGCTGACACCGGCACAGAAATACACAGACACACACAATGCCTTCTGCAGACACACACAATATTTCACCACCCGGTGCACACTCCACACGAACAACAGGATTATTGCGAGAGACTGCAGGTTAGCAAACTGTGATTCTTTAGCAGCACAAATGTGAACGTTTAATCCCATGTAGGGAGAGAGGGTTTTTTAACAGTTTTTATAAGGGAAAAAAGTTCACATTGTTTCTTCCACTCTTTATATAATAAACGGTTGAATAAGTGCATAAAATAGCAAAATAACTTCAGTAATACACGGTTAGTTAATTTCCAGTAGATTAGCCAGACGTGTCAAGCTGTCCTCCAATAGGGGACAGTTTAACCCTCCAGCTAGGCATTTTCCAGTTGGAGAAGATAAACAATGTTGAGTAAGATAAAAGGGATTTCAGCATATCATTTCACTTGACAATCTTGCCTTGCTAGTGTAACTTTTTAAATAGTTGACACTTCAAAGTGTTCTTTGTGTCTGTGTATGGAAGAAGGAGGGGGTGGGTGATGTGCTGCCACTCTGCAGAGACTTCTCTGGGAGTGTGTGTGTGTTCACTAGATGTTCCTAGTGATGTACCACAAAGTTGACCCGATTAACTTCCAGATCAGAAACTTCATACTAGTTTATGAGGCTTTGTCTTCCTCTACTCCTCTGAATATCACAATCAATTTACAGTTTATACCCTAAGATGCTTAAATGGACTACATTAAAGCTCTTATCTCTGCAGAAACATACTGTACATCCACTATGCTTCTCAAATCCGTACCTCTAATTCCAGCCTGGAAACAAACAACGAGGGATTGAGAGGCAGGCCACTACAGAGGGAGACAAGAAGTGTCCGATACACAGAAAATATTGCACAAAGGATAAGCAAACCACTTTTTACCTTGATCGTCTTGGCGGCGACAATATTGGACAGATTCTTCTTGGCCAGCTGAGAACCTTTGCCTGTAGGAAGGAAGCTTGGTCCCTGCGAGAAATGATAAGACATAAAAAAGCTATCAAAATTCATTATCAATGAATTTTCGCTTTGCTTTTTCCTTTTTACTGGAGGCCGTAAAACCCACAGTAATCTACTGGAGATAAGATTTGTAAACAATATTTATGTCTCACAGTCCTTCCGGCATCAAATTAACTGTTAAGTAGACATTACATGAAGACATTAACCGTATAACTTGCCTGCAGAATAGATCAGTGATGTTTCATATAATAATCTGTGTTGTATTGATATTTATATCAGTGAAATGTACACGTTTATCATTGCTTTACCTCTTATTCCCGCACTATTCCCACACATCTTTGGACCATTCAAGGCCAATCAATATTAAATGTTTTTCTCATCATTACTGAAATTGGCACAATAAACAGTGTGAGAAACCAAGGTAATTCTGATTTTGTTACAAGCCTAAAACAGCATCCTTACCATTCCTTAACATGTTATTATATGTTGACCGTTCCATCAGCATGAACCTCAGGTGTCTTTACCTGTAGAGCCATGGTGTGGTCGCAGATGAAGCTCTGATATTTCAGGGGAATATGGAGGCTCTCCTTGGGCCGGAGGTAAACACTGGGACCTGGAGCACCTTCCTCCAAGTGGAACATGTTCTCCTCCAGCGGGGTTGGAGTTTTGGTTAGTGCTTTGAAGTAACCCCACTCCTCTGTATCAGTGATGACACTGAATGGAAATATTAAAGGACATGAGAAAAATTAAAGCAGGCTTTTTTAAAAATATCTTTAAGGGATCCATTTAGGATCAGGGCTGGATTTTTTACCATATGAGAAAGAAAACCCTTACTGCTTAACACTGTTCCTTCTACAGTATGATAAGATGGTTCCAAACAGAACATTAACGGAGTATGGCCATAGTGGTAAATAAAAGACATTGGAAGGTGGGCAAGGGAAGGTGTCCAAAATTGAAATGGTTAATCATCTGGAGATCCTGAATATGCTCAGTAAATAAAATCAGTGTTTATATTTTTTGTGATTTAAATAGGTCTTGAAAAACGTGAGTCTCCCCTCTGGATTCCTCACTTAAGGTGCTAAAGGGTGGTTCATGACCGGAAAAAGAAGATTGTGAACACATGCGGAATAAATTGGTTTTCACTGGAGGGATGAGGTGAGAAGTTCAGTCATTCAGGAGGAACTCGTGTAAAGCCGTCACTCCTTTTCATAGAAAGGAGCCAGTTGAGGTGGTTGCTAGTAAGGAAGTCATCTGATCGCCATGGGCAACTGTTTTTGTAAGGCCAAAACAGTGGAGTTTAACGCAAGAAAATTAAACAAAGAGCTGTAACTCACAAAAGCTAAAAGGAGGTGCTGATCTGGGCAAAGATAGTTATTCTTGAAAGGTTCTTGACAACAAATCTTCCCATTTCACATCGTTCTCACATAGGAAAGTATTGATTATATGTGCAATTGTTTGACGCGTGACCATTGCAAACCACAGTAATTATTCATTTTATACCAGATCCCCTCTCTAAGAAAATACAATTTCTTGAGCACTGACAAACAGTACTGATCTCCCATTCTGACAATCTAATTCTAGTAAAGCTCATTGTAGTGCCAACAATTGAGGCAAGCTTATTCCACAGTTAAGCAGTCGACACAATGCGTTATTTTTCAGTACAGACCAAAGCTTTCATAAAAGTGTATAAAGGTCAGAGAAAACCCCTCTCAATCTCCATCAAATGGATTTCTATGGAGGAAAAGCAACAGGAACAGATAAGACTTTCCAACAGTGGGACGTCTTGTCTCTCCTTCCTTTGAATGGAAAAATATCCATGCACAAATGCATAAAGGGGAAGTGCTGATTCAAACTTCAAACACGCCAACCCATGGGCATGGGGAAGAAGGATCTTTCTCAATAGGAGAGAGAGAGTTTATGAATTTTTTAGGGCCCCACCTCACTTACTTCAGGGAGAGATGCTACAGTCAATTCCATGACACTAACCAACCCTGTCTCCTAAAAATTATGTTCCCACAGAACTAAACTGCATTCTCAATTACGTTTAGCTAGAAACGTATTTTCTCCAACGTTACGTTCGTTATGAACGTATCTTAAATAAGTTTATTTTCTACATATCTTTGCCATTTATTGTCTTGCTTATAATAATGATAATAGTCATTTATAAATATCATTTTAGAGCACACATTTGAAATCAGTAGGCGAGGCTGTAATTTCGCCAGCTGTTACTCTCATGAGCGAGGCAGAACATAATAGTTTTAACATGCCAAAAAAGCACCTCAAACATTAAAACAAATCCAGAGTTACGTGTTTCTGTACTTCCTCTAAGAAGAAAGGACAGTAAAAGAAGAGCTCTGTGGCTTCAGGCTTGATCGCCGTTCAAATGACAGCGTTCGTTTCCCCAAAAGTGGGCGGGGCTGTAAAGTGATCTTACTCTCATCTATTATTCAAAACCATTCTATTTATTCTAACATAAATTACATGCCAGTGTTTTATCTTTTTATTTATTTGTTTTTATTTTAAATCGTATAATGTCTGACTTTTTTTCCCGTCTGCGAGGAAAAGAAATGGGGCTTAGAGCCTCAAAATACTGAAATCAGTTTTTAAATATTTTTTTCCTTCTAATTTGTTATTCTTTTCTAAATAACACACTGTTATTTACTCAACAATAACACACAATTATCCTTGTTTTTATTTATTCGTTTAATTCTATAATCTTGGGCTTTCTAGCTCGTTGATTGGATGCTTTAGCCGCAATGCATGTTGGGATATGATTTTTTGTTCTTGCTTTTCTCTTTGGAAGTCATCATATGACAGCATTGTAATACACGGTTCGGCTGCATTAAATATTACACATCTGCCGTAGTTCTTTATTTATAGAGCCCTGATGAGAAGACTTCTGGACAAACTTGAAGAATTGACACCAAAACTGAATATGTGACGTGGATCATAAATATATCAACAATTAAACAACATCTTGCATTTCTTTTCACAAAATACGTCTCCTTGTTGTATCAATAGTAATTCGGCTGACTTTTATATTTGATCCAATTGGTAGATTGGTTATATTTACACCATAATGGTGCACAGCTGATAAAAAAGGACTTGTAGTTTTTAAAGATATTACTGATTTTCTTTGAATATAAGAATGTAAATACTGAGTTGANCTAGTGCTCCCTTTGACTGCAAACGTTCCGGTGGGTCGTATATTCACTAATAACCCTCTCTGGAAAATCCTAAAGTGGAATAGTTTGGCCATTAAAATGCTTTCTGATTATATTTCTAGCGAGAAGTGTATTTTGTACTTTAAGAATCACAATAAGAATAAGATACACCAGTAAATATATGTAGACATTCATGAATGTCAGAAGCTTTTATGAGTCTTAATAAAGGCAGTAGCTAACAAGTGGCTAAATAAAACTACTAGACATCATCACGCCAAACACTAACCTCTTTTAGCTTAGCTACAGTATGTGGACAGGAAGTCTTGAGACTGTGATGTAGTTAGTTTTTAGCTTTATGTTAGATATGTACTGCTGGAAATTGGCATTATACGATTAAACAATTATAGGTGGTGTTAATACTTGAAGATAATCCTTCTCCATTAGAACATATCCATACAAATCATTGACAGTGACTTAAAGTGTCACTTCTCATAAGAAATGGCACTACAATTGAAATTGTTGAGTCGGATATTTCAGAGACGAACATTTTAAATCTGGTCATGAAACTAGGAGGACTCAATGACATAAAAAAAGGAAGGAAATTGGATGAATCAACCCTTAAACTGTTGTACAATGTACTTGTGCGTACAGAGTGTGTTTTATAGGAGGCTTTTCAGTGACTCCTGTAGTATTGCAGCTTCAACACTATCTAACTTTACACCTGCACTAAGAGTAGGGAAGTGGCTGTGTGCTAGGACTACTTGGTGGAAACGACAGAAAGCTTTATGGCTCACCACGGAGCAATCACAGCTGCAGAAGAGCTCTGAATCCAGAGTGCAGAGGCTGGTCTTAGTTTAGCACATGGTGATTCCAAAAATGTGTCCTCCACTAAGCAGTGACCTGTTAGAGTGAGAATGCTCCAATTAAATAGGTTGAGCACCCTAATGCCTCAGGCCTCTTTGTCTTTCATGCCAAGCTGATCTGATTAGCTGGGCTAAATTCACACACACACACACACACACACACACACACACACACACACACACACACACACACACACACACACACACACACACACACACACACACACACACACTCACACTCACACACACACACACACACACACACACACACACAGGCACCCTCAGAGAAGCACTGTGCTCCAAAGACCTGAGTGTTCATATTCCCTGGCAGGGACTATATGGAGGAGGCTCATGGGATAATCCAGCTGCATATTTCATGCACTGCTTCCTCAGTGGCATCTTTGCAGGCATTCAGGGAGAAAGACCCCCGCNAAGCAGTGACCTGTTAGAGTGAGAATGCTCCAATTAAATAGGTTGAGCACCCTAATGCCTCAGGCCTCTTTGTCTTTCATGCCAAGCTGATCTGATTAGCTGGGCTAAATTCAGACACACACACACACACACACAAGACCTGAGTGTTCATATTCCCTGGCAGGGACTATATGGAGGAGGCTCATGGGATAATCCAGCTGCATATTTCATGCACTGCTTCCTCAGTGGCATCTTTGCAGGCATTCAGGGAGAAAGACCCCCGCTACTAACTGCCAGAAGTCTAATTCTTAAAGCTACAAATACTGCAAACACATGACTGCATGAGTGAAAATGTATGTAAGGCAGCTAATCAAATCCAACGCTAAAAGAAGCAATGTGGACAATTCCACTTTGTGAAGACACATTACAGTTTAAACCTCAATGACATTTGCTTAATATGTGTTTCTAAAATGTTCTTTGAGTAAGATGGTTTAAAAATGTCAAATTCATCTTCCTCATGGGTCAAATCATCACATGACGAGCCCACAGAAACGTTTTGAAAATGAAAGCATGGAAACATGTCACAGTAGAGACACTAAATACAAATATGCAACTTCATGTGTTTGAGTCCCCTGAGTCGAGCACCCGATCTGTGTATTTATATTTTAATCGTTTCTGCCAGCTATGAGATGAGTCATCACACTCTTCTCTGCTGCAGTCATTTGGTTGTGTGTGAAAATGTAACTATTTGAAGAATTCAGATGGAGGTGAGATCACCCACACATTAAGACACACATTACAACACATTTCTACTCAGCAGAACATTCAGCTCTTGATTTAGAGATGCTCAGTTTAAATACTTTAACTTAATTTGACAATAGTTCACTATCACTAATCATAATGGAACATTATGCTCAAGTGTTACATGAGTATACACGAGTAACTTAAACAAGCTAATGGTTGTTTGATTGAGTAGTTGGTTATTGTATAGTTATATAATACTGTGCATTTACAATATTACACTTAATACGGGACATGTTTGGGTGGACAACAAAAAAACATCCATGATGTTAGGTTTTGAGGCACATTGTATTTAATTAGCGCAAAAGTTGATATATCTGAGCACTCAAAAAATCAGAGTCACAGTAGCTTGGATATTGACCACAAGAAACTTGTTATTGTGATAACTCTTCGTAGTGAAACAGCCTTCAGTGAGGACAGCCAGACCTATTTCAATCTATTCAACAATTCCATCTGTATTTTAATTTTCAAGGCA